CACCTCTGCTCGCTGCCCCAAAGCCGAAGTGACATGCTTCACCGGTGACGGTTCGAGTTCGGTGAGCAAGTCCGCGCGAGGTATCATGCTATAGGTAGCGCCGCTATCGATCACCCAGTAGTCCAGGGAGCGTAGGGTCACTTCCCCAGAGCAGCAGGCTCCTCCTTCATCCTTCTCTGGTGCAGCCGGTGCTTGCATCGAGACGAAGAAGAATTTACCCGGGAACTGATCGTCGCTCGAGTCCTTGTCGTTATCTCCGCCTTTCATGTTTGCGACCGCCACGGCCTCCACGGCCTCTTCCTCTCCCTCCTCCTGCTCCTCTACCCTCCTGGCCTTGAGCAGGGGTCCAAACATCAGGGAGTTTGTAGCAATCGCGCCACATGTGTCCGCTCTTGTGGCAAATGTGGCACTCGTCGTCGAATTGGCCGCGACCGCGTCCGTAGCTCTTGTCGTCGCTGCCGTAACCGCCAATCCCGCGGCCTCCATTGAATTTGTTGCTTCCAAATCTGCCTCCCCCTCGTCCTCTGCCCCTTCCATGGCCATACCCCCGGCCGATGCTTGCTGCCCCAGCACCATCCGCACTCGCCAACTCACGGCGGCGGAAATCCTCTTGAAGGATTGCTCGCTACACGTCTTCATGCAAGAGGCGGGGCAAATTACAGTTGAGGTTGATGATGAGGGAGGACCATGACTCTGGGAGTAAGGCCAGCAACTTGGTCTTCTTCTGGAGCTCACTGTAGTTCAAATCAGCTCCCTCAAGCCGCGTCAACAAGTCGAAGAATTTATGCACCCCTTCTTCCACGAATTTATCTTCTTCAATTCGAAGTGTCGCCATTTGCCGTTTCAACACCACCGCTACCGCCGCTGTTGCAGGAGCGTGTACACCCTTGAGTCTCTACTCTGGTTCACGCTGGAATGGCTTGATGTGACGGATTTGGCTGCTCCCCAACGCTTGCCCAAGTAGGAGATAGCCTTGTGCGCTCTTCCGCACCCATGGGCTCTTCTCCGGGTCGTTCTCGGGGCGCTTCTCCGTACCTTCCATCACCTCCAGCAAGTCATAGTGGTCAATCACGTTCTCCATTCTGAAGGACCACTCAGCAAAGTTATCACCGTTGAACTTGTCAAGCCCGAACACTCTTAGTTCATCCCTAGGAGGTCCAAGAGTAGGTTGCACGGGCGCCATCGCTGAATCACAGATGACCCTGTGCTTGAGGCCCTTCACTACCTCCAGCACTTCTGTCTCCCCTTTCTTCAGGTCCAGCCATCGTTGTATCTGCTCCAAGGCGGTCTGATACCACTTTTTATACTCACAATTGGCTCCAATGTGCCTAAAACGAAAGATAGAGTGCATAGTCGGATTTCTGCACAGCGGCTTTAAACGTTCATAGCGATATGGTCACAGCTTCAAATGACCTGGTTCAAATTGGATCTGGAGCATCTTAAGGCAATTTAGAACGTACGATTTCACCAAGTATTGACGACACAGCGTTCGTTTGAACGAACGACACTATGGCACCCACTATAGTCTTAGAACACAAGATAGGAAGAGTTACGAGTTGGGAATGACTCCCAGCTCCTACAAACCCCAAGAGCCAAGTTACAGTGATGTGGAACAGTGCCACACTGTCCCCAACCACGAAGGGTCTCGAAACTACCCTTCACAAGGGCCTACACCAAGTGAAATGTTACACTACACAAGGTAATGTAACTGATCTCAATATCTTGAGGTGCACCTTTTTTTTGTTTTTTGTTTTTTTTTGTTTTTTTTCGCGGGCTTCGCAATCACTTGAATCTTGAAACCAAGGCTCTGGTTCTTCATTCTAATCTCATCTTTGAGTTCTTGATAGGTCTGCTGCACACACCTGCGACACCCCGAACGTTCCACACACGACAAAATAGAAACCGCGCGACAAACACACAAACGACAAGATAAAAACCGCGCGCGGGACACAAAAGACCGCGTGACACGCGACTAGCGATATCTCGCTATTGACTCAACACACCCACACTCGACATCATGACTCAGCATTCGCACATTATTTTAAGCATGAAATATATATATTATCCCACGCCCTCATACCATTCCATCCACACACGCATGCACGCACACGGACAACAAGCCGAGTGCAAACTGTAGGTTTGCACCAACAATGTTCAGGTGTTACATCCTATTATTTTTCCATAGGGGCTGGTTTGAGCTCGTTCGCACAACTACGCAGCACGCGACGCTTGTTTGTGCGTTTACTTGCCTGAATCTGTGCAAGGATAGGCCGGTGCGCAACATGTCACCGTTTCAGCGTTTGGATGTTGTTATTAGAACCATTTATTCAATTATTACATCCTATTCTCTTACCATAGGAACTGTTTCGAGCTCTTTCGCACAACTATGCAGCACGTGACACCTGTTTGTGCGTTTGCTGGCCCGAATCTGTGCAATGATAGGCCTGTGCGCAACATGTTAGCGTTTCAGCGTTTGGATGTTGTGTTTAGCAATATTTCTTCACAAATTCAGGTATTACATCTTATTCCCTTGCCGTAGGAATAGGTTTGAGCTCGTTTGCACCACAACACAGCACGTGACGCATGTTTGTGCGTTTGCTTGCCTTAATCTATGCAAGGATGGGCCCGTGCGTAACATGTCACCGTTTCAACGATTTGATGTTGTTTTTAGCACTATTTCTTCACACATTCATGTATTACATCCTATTCTCGTGCCATAGGGTCTCGCTTGAGCTCGTTCGCACAACTACGCAGCACGCGACGCTTGTTTGTGCGTTTACTGGCCTGAATCTGTGCAAGGATAGGCCTGTGAGCAACATGTCACCGTTTCAGCATCTGGATGTCGTTTTTAGCACTATTTCTTCACACATTCAGGTAGTACATTATATTCCCTTGACATGGGAAATACGTTTGAGCTCGTTTGCACGACTACGCAGCATGTGGCGCTTGTATGTGCGTTTGTTGGGCTGAAACTGTGCATAGATAGGTCTGTGCGCAACATGTCATCGTTTCAGCGTTTGGATGTTGTTTTAAGCACTACTTCTTCATACATTCAGGTATTAAATCTTATTTCCTTGCCGTAGAAACTAGGTTGAGCTCGTTCGCACAACAACGCAGCACGTGAAGCTTGTTTGTGTGTTTACTGGCCTGAATCTGTGCAAGGATTGGCCTGTGTGTAACATGTCACCGTTTCAATGTTTGAATGTTGTTTTTAGCACTATTTCTTCACACATTCATGTATTACATCCTATTCTCTTGCCATAGGAACTAGTTTGAGATCACTCGCCCAACTACGCAGCACATGACTCCTGTTTGTGCGTTTGTTGGCCTGAGTCTGTGCAAGGCCTGTGCGCAACATGTCACCGTTTCAGCATTTGGATGTTATTTTTAGCACTATTTCTTCACACATTCAGGTAGTAAATCTTATTCCATTGCCATAGGAACGTGTTTGAGCTCATTTGCACAACTACGCAGCACGTGACACTTGTTTGTGTGTTTACCGGCCTGAATCCGTGCAAGGATAGGCCAAGGCGTAACATGTCACCATTTCAACTTTCGGATGTTGTTTTCAGCACTATTTCTTCACACATTCAGGTACTACATCCTATTCTCTTGCGATGGGAACTGGGTTGAGCTCGTTCGCACAACTACGCAGCACCCGATGCTTGTTTGTGCGTTTACTGGCCTGAATCCGTGCAAGGACTGGCTAGCCATAGCATGTTACCGTTCCACAAGACTTTGTTGTCGATGGCAGACCCTGCTGGTCGACAAGAAAAGTCGTTGACGAGCCCGTTACTAGTTGGCTAGCCTGTCGACGAACACTGGTCGTTGAGCCCACCCTTCCCCCTTTCATCCCACTCGACAAAACCCGAAAAAGCGCGCGAAGTTAGGCATGGATGATAAGTGTTGCTGTTTAGGATAGGTTTTAGTTCAGTTGTGTAGTACATACGTAGTTAGAATCAATGGAGAAACAAATATATATAATTTATTACATCAATTTTGGTCTTAAATCGATCCTACACTAGGCGCAGATTGGACCAAATTTGGTCCCGCGCTAGAGCAAGACATGCGGCTCGCTAAAACAGACATCCGCCTGCTGTGCGTGCTTTCCAAACACCCAGTCAATCCTGGTTAAAGCTCGCGTCTCAGATTTCCAACCTTTTAACACTTGGTTGGGTTTTCCCGTCTGTGATTGGGTAACGAATGACGAAATATTTGACGAGTGGGTGAAAAAAACACAGCGAACTCCCAAACAGTCAAGGCCAAAACAAACCAGGGTGGGTTGGTTTGGGTGGAAAACGAGCCAAGAGAGACAGGTTTGGTCCCGGGTTCTGTCAACGATGAGTTCAGAGTCTCATATTTTCGAGAGTTGTTAAAGCTCGCGTCTCAAATTTCCTACCGTTTAACACTTGGTTGGGTTTGCCCCTATTTGATTGGGTAACGAATGACGAAATATGTGACGAGCGGGTGAAAAAAACACTGCGAACTCCCAAACAGGTTTGGCCAAAACAAACCAGGGTGTGCAGGGTTGGGTGGAAGACGAGCATTGGGGGACAGGTTTGGCCCCGCTTACTGTCAGAGTTGAGAGTTCACAGTCTCAAATTTCCGAGATTGTAAATGCTTGGTGTTCGCGGGGAAGTGTGCGACGCGATTTCCCAACCAACCTTACCAACCACCCCTTTCCTTGGTGTGCTGTGCGACAAACTCTGCTGTTACCGGATTCCAACCGTTTAACACTTGGTTGGATGGCATAAATATGAGACGCGAGCTTTAAAAGCAGCACATCGCGCCAATTTTCGACTGGGCCAAGCCAAAAGTCGATTGGCCGAGGCGCATTCCATTTCACGAAATGGGTACGAAACCAAATTTTAGCACACAACAAGATCAGGCGACACGATTTCGCTAGGGGTTGGACGAAGAACCGCCAAAACGCCTCCAACCCAACTTTCGAAGCAAATTTTGCTCACTTCACCCGCAATTCAAAACCGACGGTTTCTGTGATGTCGTCCTCCTCCACGTTCCCCCTTGCGCCCTTCCTTACACTCGTCGCTTGTCCTCGCGCTCGTTCTCTTGTCTTCCCTCTATCCCGGCCTTCCCCACCCCTCCGCCTGCTCATTCTCCCCTCTTCTGCCCTTCAACTCTGCCCCCTTCTTTCCCTGCCACGCCTTCTCCCGTCCCTCGCCCCGTTTATGCCAGACCCAAACCACGTGCACCCGCATTCTCACTTCCCGCTCTCCTCTCCACCCCCCCCCCTCCCCCCCCCCCACTCCGCATCCCCTTCCCACTCCGCGCGGCCGCCCGCCACAGCTACCCCAATCCACGTTTCCCCTCCCACTGTTGCGCAATTTGATAGAGGCACACGCACAGTGGGGGCGTCGGTGGCGGCGGCGACGGGGCCACGGCAGTGGTGGCAGAGAGGAAATGATCTAGGTGGAGCGCGGTCGGCGCGGGCTTTCACCTCCTCTTCGCGAGGCCGCCAACACCGTAGAAAAAGCCGCCGCTACTCCTCGCACCTCTGCTTTCGCGGCTCTCCGCCTTTGCAAAATGGATTCTATTGCCTCGCACCTCTGCTATCGCTCTCGTTTGTCGATTACGATCACCCTCTCGTCGTCGACTGTCGCTGTTCCATCGCCGTCCGTCGCTCTCTCGTCGCCTGTCTGACGCGATCGCTAGCAACTGTCTGGTCCTCTTGTGACACTAGCCGAGCCAGCAACCTATCCTACTTTGACATACGCGATTCGTTATGAGTGCGGGTCATTACCAAAGAGGTGAAGTGCACTAACATTCGAAAGCTGAAGAGTGCTACTGAATGCTCAATGAATGTTCAAGACGAGATTATATATGGAGTGTCAAGCTTGGCGAACACCTCCGGGAGGCGAGGTCCGGAAGCAAGGCAAAAGGTGCGGTGGCAAATCGATAATGGCTCGGGGTGAATTTATAGGCCGAACCAGCTGACGAGAGCGCTTCGGAACAAATTTGCTATTGGCTACACTAAATCGACGAGATGAACCACAGATCAAATACATTCTTTATACCGTATTCTCCCGGACATAACACCCTAGGGTATAGCTAAAAATACAGGAACAAAATGAGGGGTGTCTTCTAGGAAATAGCTACATAATACCCGGGTGCATATATATGATATATTTTAGTGTAAGAGTTTTTTTTTTTTTTAATTAGACAAGTTGAGTGTTTCCATGGGCGTTTTAACATCACATGTTGAGGCGCGAATGTGAGTTTCGACGCGAACCTCAACACCCCCTCGAAAATGCCATGTGGCACCTGTCTGGCCACTTGAAGCGGAAGATTCACTAGCGCGTGGCGATAGCGAAATAGTGGGCGGGGGGAAATCTCGGTAGGTTTGAAGTGAAAGAACCTCGAAATTTCATCGAGAGGGATTTGCGCGATATCCTCCCATACTTGCACCGACTCGTTAACAAATATAATACGGTAAAAAATCTGTAAGAAAAGGGGGGTGTTATGAAAAATAATCCAAAAAGGGGGGTATAGTAGAAACGAGGTCGCCCATAGCACCCACCCCGCACAAGCTACCCGGGGGTGTACAATTACGGGGGGGGGTGTTATGTCCGGGAGAATACGGTAACAACCCCCTCAAAAGAATTCTACAAATTCTAGTCATATGATCCAATGTCAAATGTTGATATTTGTGATAGGCTGTAGTGAGTTGCTCCTTAGAGAGTATAACACAGTTAGGGTTGCCTATTTGTACTGCCTTGTTTCCTAAACTCATTATTCCGTTGCATTCTACTCTTGAGATGGTATCGTAGTAGGTTCGAGTTCCTTAGCCCTAGCCTAGCCCTAGCCTAGCCCTAGCGCCCTCCGCGCCCACGCGCCCTCCGAGTCTTAGCGCCCTCCGCGCCTTAGTGCCCTCCGTGTCCTCCGTGCCTTCCGCGCCCTCCGCACGTTCGTGCTCTCCGCGCCCTCCGCACGTTAGTGCCCTCCGCGCCCTCAACGTATGCCTAGCCCGGCCCCTCCCACTGTCGCGCCCTCCCCCTGCCCGTCGCGTCGGCCCCCCCTCCCCTTCCCCTGCCCGTCGTGTCGCCTCCTCTTCCCCTGCCCGTCGCGTCGCCTCCCCTCCTCCTGCCCGTCGCGTTCGCCTCCCCTTCCCCTGCCCGTCGCGTCGCCTCCCTTCCCCCTGCCCGTCGCATCGCCTCCCCTCCTCCTGCCCGTCGCGTTCGCTTCCCCTTCCCCCGCCCGTCGCGTCGCCTCCCCTCCTCCTGCCCGTCGCGTTCGCCTCCCCTTCCCCTGCCCCTCGCGTCGCCTCCCCTCCTCCTGCCCGTCGCGTTCGCCTCCCGTTCCCCTGCCCGTCGCGTCGCCTCCCTTCCCCCTGCCCGTCGCGTCGCCCTCCCCTCCCCGCCCCGTCCCACCGTCGACAACCTCCTCCCCCCCGCTGTCCTACCGTCGCACCCTCCTCCCCGCCCTCTCCTAACGTCGTGCGCCCTCCCCCCGAGCCCACCGTGCCCTCGCCCTCACCTAGGCTAGCGCCTCCGCGTTAGCCCGTTCCCACCCACGATTGGCACGCGCCCGAACCCCACTACCGCCCTGCGCGCGGGGCCCTAGACAACTCTTTTGCCACTGGTCTCGCCCTCAGCGGCTGGCAGCCGCTTTCTTTCGCCGGCCACCTAGGGTAGACCCGTGTTCCTGCTAGTTCCTCGCCCCTAGTGCATGTAGCTGGAGTTCCACCGTTTCACGCCTAGACTAGGTCCCTCCGTGCTCCTAGCCTCTAGCTCCGCCGGTCTCACACCGCGCCACACCTGGCGGTGCTAGGCTTCCCTCCTCGTTCTTAGCACCGCCTCCGCCGAGCTCCGGCCGCCTCTAGCATGGCCTCCGTTATGGAGTCCCGTCGCCTTCGTTTCGATGCGGAGGGACGCCCGATAGAGTTCGGTACCTGGCAGCGCCAGACCACGCGTTTCCTTACCAGCCAGCGTCAGGACGGCGCCACTCTATGGGCCCACGCGTCTGGTGCCCTCAAGCCCCCCGCGTCCCCCGCCGCCCTGCCGACCGCCTCGGAGCCGACTCCTACGGCCCAGGCGGACTACGTGCGTCGGGTCCTGGCATGGGACGTGTGGCTCTCTCGTGACGCTGCCGACCGCTCTCACGCTGTCGGAGCTTCTCCCCCCGACTGAGGCCGCCCACATTGACAAGGTAAAGACAGCACAGGGGGTTTGGGATGCTATTGTTCCCGCTATTCCACCCCTTCCTCTGCCTCCCTCAGTCGCCTCCTCATGCCGTTCGTGTTTCCTGACCTAGGCTCATTTGCGACTGTGTCCGACCTAGTGACTCACCTCCGCTCACTTGACGCCAGTTTCCGTGCGGCCTGTACCGACGCCCAGCTTCTTGCTGCTCCCCCCCCCCATATGGCTCACTGTGCACTGGTTAGTCACCCGCCTCCCTGACCGCCTTGCCACTGCTCGTGACTCGCTTCTCCAGAAGCACCCCACTGAGCTCACCATCGATCTCCTTGAGACCGCTTTCGGGACGATCGAAAGTAGTCTCCTCACCGTTGCCTCTGCCACTGACGCAGTAGCCCCCCCGTCTCTTTGCGGGGTGTGCCGCCCCTCAGCTTCCCACTTTCACTGCTACCCGCGCTTCTGCTGCTGTGTCGGTTTCTGAGGACAATGCTGCCGTTTCCACCGCAGACTGGCAGAAACGGGGCAAGGGTGGCAAGAAGGGCGGGAAGGGGTGAGGTGGAGGCGGTGGAGGCGGTGGAGGCGGCGGCGGCGGAGGTGGAGGTGGAGGTGGGAGCGGCGGCGGCGGTGGTGGAGGCGGCGGCGGCGGCGGCGGCGGTGCACCAGGAGGAGGGGGCCTTGGCGGAGGTGCAGGACAGACAGGCCCACCCACTGGTGGTGGCCCGGCCGGCAGGGGTGTTGGCCCCCAGCAGCAGCAGCCACAGCAGCACCAGTCACAGCAGGGACAATAGCAGCAGCAGGGACCGCAGCAGCAGCAGGCACCGCAGCAGTTCCAGCAGTGGGGGCCCCCACTGCAGTGGGGTCCGCAGCAGCACTGGGGTCCGCAGCAGCACTGGGGTCCCCCGCCGCAGTTGGGTCCGGGAGGACTAGGGAGCACCGGCCGCAGCGGCAGCACTTCCAGCTGGGCCCCTCGCCCCCCTCGCCGTGACACTGGCCCCTGCACCCACTGGTGCCTCACCGGACCTGGCAGCCCCTGTCTCTGCGGTCGTGACGACCACTCTGCCGCGCGGTGCTTCCGCCGCCTCGACGACCTCTACCATGCTCGTTGGGGCCCTACGGCGACCACGCCTCGCTGGGCTCGCCTGTTAGCCCGTAAGATTGATGTGTTTGATCTATCCATGGACGATGCTCGTCAGCATGCTTTGTATGCTGATGTTGACTATAGTGCTGATGGATCTGTGTGCTCGCGTATTCGTAGACTAGCTTGCTTGCCTCCTGCTAGTGTAGACTTGTGCCTTTCTAGTCTAGGTGCTTGTGTAGCCACTAGGACAGGTGACCCTCCCGCTGAGGCGTCCCTATCCTTCACGTTGGACTCTGGTGCGTCTCAGTGCTTCTTCCGCGACCACACGACCCTCAAGACACTCCTCACTCCTGTTTCGGTGGCTCTGGCTGATCCTACCTCAGGACCAGCCATAGCGCGTAGCTCCACTACCCTCCCGTGTCCTGTGGTCCCCTCAGGTGTCCTGCGCGGCCTCCACATCCCCTCGTTCACTCGGAACTTGGTGGGTATTGGTTACCTCCAGGACAGGGGGATCACGGTTACCTTTGTGGGGGGTGGGAGGACTGCGGTCTGTACAGACGCTGCCACAGGTGCTGTTCTGGCCACGTTCACCAGGGAGCCCCGCTCCGGTCTCTACGTTCTCCACATCGCGCGCTCCCAGGTTGCATCCTCCGCTCAGGTCGTTGCGTCCCCTCCAGTCCAGGTGTCCAGTCCGGTTGCTGTTTCTAGCCAGGTAGTCGTGTCTTGTCCAGTTGCAGTGTCTAGTCAGGTCGCGCTGTCTAGTCCAGTCGCTGCGTCCTGCTCCTGTCGGTCCCTCACCCACCGGACCGTCTTGTGGCACCACCGCCTTGGCCACCCGTCGATCCCACGCCTCTGCGGGATGACCACTCACGGGCTTGTCACCGGTCTCCCACGCAACTTTACGTCACTCCCCACCTCCCCTGCTCCCCCTTGCACTCCTTGCGTCGCCGGTCGCTTACGCGCCACTCCCCACTCCTCCTCCCTTCGTCCGGCCACAGCTCCCTTCGAGACCCTCCACTTGGACGTCTGGGGCCCTGCCCCGACGCAGGGTTCTGGGAGGGAGCGTCGACGACTTCTCCAGGTACACCACAGTGTTCACTCTCGCGAAGAAGTCCGAGGTGACCTCTACGCTGATCCGGTGGCTTCTGGCTACTGAGGGCACTCGTGGTCATCGTGTCAGTTGTCTACACTCCGACCGTGGGGGCGAGTTTCGCTCTGGCGTTCTTGGCGGATTCTGCGGCGAACAGGGCATCGTACAATCCTGGACGCTTCTGGAGTCCCCACAACAGAATGGGGTTGCTGAGCGCCGCATTGGCTTGGTCATGGACATTGCTCGCACGTCCATGATCCATGCACGTGCGCCCCATTTTCTGTGGCCCTACGCGGTTCGCTACGCCGCACACCAGCTGAACCTCCAGCCGCGTGTCTCGCGGCCCGAGGCTTCACCGACCAGTCTTTGGACCGGTTCCCCTGGTGTTGGGTCGACCTTTCGTGTCGAGTCATGATGTCGAGTGTGTGTGTCGAGTCAATAGCGAGTTATCGCTAGACGCGTGTTACGCGGTCGTTTGTGTCTCGCGCGCGGTTTCTATTTTGTCGTGCGCGGTTTCTATTTTGTCCTGTGTCGAACGTTCGGTGTGTCGCAGGTGTGTGCAGCAGACCCATCAAGAACTCAAGGATGAGTTTGTGACGAAGAGCCCGAGCCTTGGTGTCAAGCCTCAAGTGATTTCGAAGCTCGCCAAAAGGGTACACCTCAAGATATTGAAGATAGTTACATTACTTAGTGTAGTGTAACATTTCACTTCGTGTAGGCCCTAGTGAAGGGTAGTTTCGAGACCCTTCGGGGTTGGGGACAGTGTGGCACTGTTCCACATCACTGTACCTCGGCTCTTGGGGTTTGTAGGAGCTGGGAGTCATTCCCAACTCGTAACTCTTCCTAACTCTTCCTATCTTGTGTTCTAAGACTATAGTGGCTGCCATAGTGCCGTTTGTTCAAACTGACGTTGTGTCGTCAATACTTGGTGAAATCGTGCGATCTAAATTGCCTATTGTAGGCGACAATACGATGCTCCAGATCCAAGTTGAATCAAGTCATTTGAAGCTGTGACCAGAACGCTATGAACGTTTGAAGCCGCTGTGCAGAAATCCGGCTGTGCACTCAATCTTTCGTTTTAGGCACATTGGAGCCTACTGTGACTATAACAAGTGGTATCAGAGCCCCTTGGAGCAGTTTCGACAATTGCTGGACCGGAGGAAATGGGTGGCAGAGGTGCTGGTGGCAGTGGAGAAGCCCAAGCTCAAGGCCAACCCCGTGACTCAGCCATGGCGCCCGTGCAACCAAGTGTTGGCCCATCTAGGGACGAGCCTAGAGTGTTTGGCCTTGACAAGTTCAACGGTGACAACTTTGCTGAGTGGTCCTTCAGAATGGAGAACGTGTTTGATCAATATGACCTGCTGGAGGTGATGGAAGGAACGGAGAAGCGCCCCGAGAACGACCCGGAGAAGAGCCCGTGGGTGCGGAAGAGCGCACAAGGCTACCTCCTACTAGGGCAAGCGTTGGGGAGCAGCCAGATCCGTCACATCAAGCCTTTCCAGCGTGAACCAGAGAAGGGACCAAAGGCATGGGCTGCTCTCAAGGGTGTACACGCTCCTGCAACAGCGGCGGTAGCTGTGGTGTTGGAACGGCAAATGGCGACGCTACGAATTGAGGAAGATGAACCCGTGGAAGACGGGGTGCAGAAATTCTTCGACTTGTTGACGCGGCTTGAGGGAGCTGATTTGAACTATAGTGAGCTCCAAAAGAAGACCAAGTTGCTGGCCCTACTCCCTGATTCATGGTCCTCGCTCATCATCAACCTTAATCGCGACTTGCCCCGCCTCTCGCTTGAAGACGTGAAGCGAGCTATCCTTCAAGAGGATTTCCGCCGCCGTGAGTTGGCGAGTGCGGATGGCGCTGGGGCAGCGAGCATCGGCCGTGGATATGGTCGAGGAAGAGGCAGAGGACGAGGGGGAGGAAGGTTTGGTGGCAGCAACTTCGGCGGAGGCCGCGGGAGTGGCGGTTACGGCAGCGACGACAAGAGCTACGGACGCGGTCGCGGCCGATTCGACGGCGAGTGTCACTATTGCCACAAGAGCGGACACATGTGGCGCGACTGCTACAAACTCCCTGATGGTTGGACCCCTGCTCAAGGCCAAGAGGGTAGAGGAGCAGGAGGAGGGAGAGGACGAGGCCGTGGAGGCCGTGGCGGTCGCGGTGGCGGAGCTGCAAACATGAAGAGCGGAGACAACG